TAGATCCCAGTCAAATTTACCCAAGTATCATCCATCTCTAGTCTAGTCTGTGTATACAGAAAGAGTTTCTCACCACCAACAGATGTTTTTTGGACCTCAGGAATCGTCTCCATCACCTCTCTGTGAGGAGCAGAGAGCACTCGTGCTGCACATCCCACCTGTGTGCTGTGTTTACGTGAACCTGAGAGCACAGCTGTAGTGGTGACAGTGAATGTAGCGTTGGTGTTGGACACACTGACAGTGTTGTACTGTGAGAAGCTGAGGTCTTGTTGTGAGAGTGTTACAGTGGGAGCAGGTCGACCAGTGGCTGAACAGGAAACAACCCACTCTTCAGCAGAGTTTGACTCTCTGACATCAACAACAGGTTCATGCAGCTCTGTGAAAGATCAGGAGATATTGCAAGGAATATGTTGTTGAAAGGAAATCCGTTTCTAGCACATTTAAACACATTAATGCAAAAGTTCTTACCATAGACTTGGAAACAGGTTCTACCAGTGAAGGAGCCTTCAGGATAAGTGTTAAACAGACAGTGATAGCATCCTTCATCCTGCTCCGTCACATTCCTGATGACTATGGAGCAGTTCTATAGTCCAGTGTATTTAAACTTGACTTTATCGTTAAAGCCATCATTCACTCTCTGACCATAGTACTTGCTGTAGGTGGCAACATTTGTCTCCACATCACGTGAGATTTTCTGCCATGTGACCTGAAGGACGTCTTTAGTGTCCAAGAGCTGACAGCTGATTCAGCATCTTCTCCCACTGCTGCCAGCACAGTCTGCTGTGTTTGGACCACTGCTGTTAGAGCTGCATGGAGAATAACATGAGTTAGAGATGTGGAACTGAGAGGTATTGATGGGAAGGATTAAACAATAATTCGGGTCATGGAGTAGTCTGTGTTTTAGGCTCAAACAAATTGACATATGGGTACCACTTAAATGTGATGTAGACTATAAATATAAACCTGACACTCATTGTTTCATACTGTATGTTTCAGGGACATTTTCTTTCATCTATAAAAAAAAGTAAGACAATTCAGTTAGCTACCAACTAAACAAAGAAAGTCAGATAGATGGACAGATCGAGTCTATATTGGTTCTGTTGGTCCATGACCAATTCTGGAGGTCTGTACTGCATTTGAACTTTTCCAACAATTTGGAGGTCCAACCATGATTTAAGCTGGACATCAATATGGCGTTCAACATTAGAACCTTGGACTTGATGTATATTTTTTGGACATCATGTAGATATCTATGACAAGTGCAGGGAATTTAAAGGTTTAATTGAGGTCATATTTTTTATTTACAAAATATCAATATTGGGGCTACAAAACAATCCCTTCAGTGGACCAAAAATGAATTATAAAACCCATCACTTCAACATAACCAATACCAGGACTGGTATTGACTGGTAACTCGTGCTACTGTAGAAATTCCCATTGATTTTCTACATTTTCCCAGAGGCCTCCCCTTCTGTGGATTACTAGTATGTCATTTATTAATTTGTGCCTCAATTATTTCAGATCAGTTATTTCACTGGGGAAGCCCTATATTGCCCACTTCCTAATTTCAGCACAGTTTGATCTTTCTCTTTAGCATGTATGTAACTTTGGTTTGTTGAGATTTTGGCATTACTTCTGTCATAAACATTCTCTCTCAGACATAACTGACTAAGATTTCTGTGGTTACCCAGAACATTTTAATAGACTTTTTGTAATCAATCAGGTCTTCAACCCCTTCTTTTAAAAATAGTGTATAAACCGTATGTATGTGTGAAAGACTGTTAATGTTTTGATAAATTGTTTATTTTAGAACAATTGGTGAGTGTGTTTAGCCACTTCACACTACTACACTTTGCTCTAAACTACATTCCTTCTCTGAACAGTATATATGTGAATGGACTGACGGATCTTTTCATTTCAAATGTTAAATAATTGTCAGTAAACTACTTATGACCTGAACTCCGTCTCTGTCTAATGGAAATGAGTGCCTTCTTGTTTTTAACTACATTGGGGTTGTGAAACGTCTTTTACATTGTAGGCCACATACAACCCAATTTTTGTTAATTTACCAACCATACATACATAACACACAAACATGTGGTTTATCTATTGCTTTCATCGTAATATGAATAGGCATGGGGCAACCTTTAACAAAACAGTCTAAAGCTGTTTTCACACAGCTCTCAAAACAGTCTCATTATCTGAATGATGAACAACTCATGACACAGAAAGTTGATTTTGTTCTGTTTTATTAGGCTGAGTGTTCAGTGGGAGAAACGTTTTGTCACTCATTCAAACAAAATCTAAACTCTTCAGTAATTGTATCTCCCTCTAATTCTGTCTAAAGACAATCTCTTTGTCACTTCAGAGAAAAGTTCTCACATTTTAGGATCAATTTTTAATTATTACGAGTGAAGGTTCTTGTTTCTTTTTTTTTCTCTTGTCACAATAAATAACTTTAAAAAACAAAAACAACAATACGGAATAAAACTTACCTTTTGAAAAGGCCATAAAAAGAAAAAACAAACACAGAATCCCACAGTCTGACATGGTGCACGTCTCTGTGTCCCCACTGGCTATTGTACCACGTATTGAAACAACGTCGTACAATAGCCAAATTATTGAAAACTCAAATGTCCCCGAAGGAAGGAAGAATCTCCCTTCCTTGTGGGACATTCCAAGGCATGTTAGAATGATCAACTGTACCAAGTAAAGTACAAAAACTTCCCAGTGCAGAGTTTCATCAGTGTTTTAATCAGCAAACGCAATCATTTTTTTCTGCATTTTGAAAATTCAGTAAAGCTGTAGGTGTCAACATTTGTCTCCACATCTTGTAAGATTTTCTGTCATGTGACCTGAAGGATGTATTTAGTCTCCGAGAGCTGACAGCTGAATTCAGCATCTTCTCCCACTGCAACCAGCACAGTCTGCTGTGCTTGTATCACTGTTGTTAGAGCTGCACAAACAAAATAAGAGGCTTTCATAGTCCGTGTTTTATGTTTCATTTAAAAAAAACAACAAAAAAACTACATAACAGAATTCACTGAGGTACATACTGAACTTACAGGACAGAAACAAAGTACCAATCCTATTGCAGTAGTATATCTCCAGTAACAATACCAGCATTGGTATCAATACTATTGATAACTGCATCAATCTGCCCACATCTAACTCGTGCTATTGTAGAAATTCCCTGTGAACTTATACATTTTCTCAGAAGCCTTCCCTCCGCGCATTACTGGTATGTTATTTATTATTTTGTGCTCCAAGTTCAGTTATTTCACTGGGGAAGCCCCGTAATGCCCACTTCTTCATTTCAGTACTGTTTGATCTTTCCCTTTAACATGTATGTAACTTTGGCTTGTTGAGATTTTAGCATTACTTCTGTCACCAACATTTTAATGCTATCTTTACTCTGTTATAATCATCTCTCTATCTCAGGCATAACTGACTGAGATTTCTTTGGAAAAGTTCTCACATTTATGACCTTTTTAGGAGATTCTTGTTTTGTTTTGTTTTCCTGTCACAATAAATAACTTAAAAAAACCAAAAATGACAATATGGAATAAAACTTACAGCCCAATTTTTACTCTTTAAGTGTGCGAGTGTGTGTATGTGTGTGTGTGTGTGTGGGGGTGGGGGGGGGATATGTTAATGAGAGTGTGGGGAGTGAGTTGGAGGGTGGGGTGGGCTGCTTTTAACTATGTAAAGCACTTTGTGCTACATTTTTTTGTATGAAAAGTGCTTTATAAATAAAGATTGATTGATTGATTGATTGAACATGTAAAACTTGGACATAACTGTCATGGTGGGGTACACCGGTGTTATGATGAAGTGGACCCAAGTGCAGACAGGGAAGGAGGCAGAACTAAGTTTTGAAAAAAAAGGCAAGCTGTTTATTTAGGCTATAAACGTGAATACAAAATGAAAGCATCATGAGCAGTGGCAAAAACCAAACTGAAACCAAACTAGGAAAACTAACTGACTGTGACAAAACTGTGATAACTTTGAATCAACTGTGATAAGACCTGACGGGAGGCAACGCAGACGACCTGACACTGAATAAAGAAAGACAGAGGACTTAAATACAGACAGGAGGTGATCAGGGGAAGTGGAAACACACAGGGGAACAGCTGACTGAAATGAACATAATGATGCCATGGCTAAAGTGAAACTAAACAATGTAGGGACAATGAACAAAAGGAAAGTCACACAATATATACACAAAGAGATGATAAGGGAAATGGAAACCATGAGGACACAGCAGGAACAAATTAGATGTGATGAGACAGGAGAAAGCAACACTGAACACACTGAACACAGGACGCGAGACTTTCCAAATAAAACAGGATACAAACTAAGAGACACGGCTCGACACACATGGACCGGGGGCGAAACAGACATGGGAACACTGAATGAATCACAAGGAGGGGAAACATCAACAAAACACAATGATGTGACTATGGCGACTATGGAGGAAGACCAAATACAGACGGGAAATTATTTTTGATAAAAGTAATATTAATTTGACTAATGGACAGGCAGTGATAAACAGCAAACAAACTGCTTAGCTTTACAGTCTTTGTTTTATCATCTGCAACTCCTGCAGTGTGAAACAGTCTTGGTATGTCAAACATAAAAACATTTTAGATACCGCTTCATCAGGTTACATATATATACCGTATTTCTTCATCAGAGAATCTATAATGTATTAAACTAAAAGTGTATACCTGGTTTAAAGAGTATTAACTAAATAAGAACGTGACAACTTTCAGTCATTAATGTAGCAGAGACAGAGTCTGACTAAAGAGACATCACAGTGAGACCTGTTTGATCTGCAGACACAGTCTCTCTCTACTAAGAGTGTGTTTGACTTTAACTTTCACACAAAATGATTCAGCTCCTCTAAACCCTCCAACAAACATTTACAAATGCTTAGAAACATTTTGTGTTTCTAATTACTAATGTTCCCCAGCCCCAGCATTCCCACAAATCTGTTTCCTTTTTTTAAGTTTCACTGTCTGTCTTCTAAACTTCGCTGATGCAGCTGGTCGTCTTTGTGTGAATCTGCGTGTGAAGGTAATCGAATCAGTATGTATTTTTTCTGATAATATCAGCTGTGTGCAGCTTCGCTCCAGCACAAACCATAGCATTATTCATGATGACAGATATGAACGAGGTTGACTTGTAACACCGCAGTTATGTGAGCCGTCATTTGTAAGCCTCTTAAACTTTCTTGCACTTTTACACAAAGGTTTATGGTAGTGCTTCTTCTTCTTTGGGGATTTTGTTCAACAGACTGAAAAAAGCTGTAATATATTTTTGAAATATATTTAAAATGGTATTTAAAGGACTATAGCATATTCTAATTAGATTTATGATACTGTGTTAAGAAGGTAAAATTGTGCATGTGTGTGTTTGTGTGTCTGTCTGAATTTTGCTGGTACTGCACTGATTGATGATCGTTGATGATCCACCTGACTAGTATAAATTAGAGTTTTATATAACAGAACAAATTTGATATCTGTAAAAATATTTTTAAATTCTTGCTTACTAGCTGACACTAAATTTTTAACAGATTTCTCTTCTGGGACACCCACACTGTGTGCAGTTTCATCTCAGCCCACTGTGTGATTGCACATTAAAGGACATTTCTCCCCAAATTCAATAAGCTCAGTGGATTATTATAACAGCGTATCAACAATTCATTTAAGAAATCCTTCTTAGTTATTGTCATGAAAATCTCAGTGGATTCTTGATTTTGCTCATCTACTCTACAGCCTGGATAGTTTCATTTCAAACTGCTGCCGTGTTTCTGCCAAATTAAAAAACAGTTCTACTCAAATTCAACAAGGTTCAGTTAATAAACAATGATTAACAAAAGATTTTGTTCATATTTCATTATATAATTCTGATCCATCAAAAATATTCCTTCTTAGAATAATCCTTTCTCTTATTGAAGATCGATTTATTTTTCTCATTTTGGTCATTCCTATTAACCCAACCATTTCCTTAATCAATCCCACACCACCGCCACCCAAAACCTTTGGAACACAGAGCAAGGAAAGCACAAAGTACACAAGAAGACGGGGACAATAAATACACACTGGATAATGAGACGAGAGGCAACGGGTGAGAGACATGATGCAGGACAAAAACTACAATAGTCACAGGAAGCAACAGTTAAAACAATAAAACAGGAAAACATGGAGAACAAGGGTTAAATTACATAGAGGAGAACAGACTGGACAGGGAACATGAGATAAATGCCGACAAGACTGAGACACTGTGTGATCAGCTGGTGATCAGCTGATGACGGGGCCGGGTTTAAAAGAGAGACGTCACCCACCTGTTCGCCGCTCAGACATCGTTCTCTTCATGTCAGGAGCTCCGAAACCTTGCCGACGTCAGTCGCCGCCTGATTCACCAACAGTGAGTGTTTTTCCTCTCGACTCTTTTTCTCATCCCAGCTCCGCTCGCTCTCCATCTGTAACGGCAGTTCCGAAGCTCCGCTTCGTGCACTGATCGTTACTAGAATAACTGCGTGTCTGTTCCAACCCACCGCTAGCCTTCACCGCGTTTGGGTCTAGCCAGCACGCCACACGGGCACGCCGAATTACTGTGTGTAATCCGCCTGACCTTGACAGGATGTCTGAGCCGCATATAGACCCAGCGGAATTCGAACGGCTTAAAAGCCGAAGTATTATATCTTCGCGGTGTGGTAGATCGGATGAGCACAAAGATGGAGTCTCTCACCGAAACTGTCCTCCAGCTTTCCTCTTCCGTCACCTCGCTGCAACGTCAGCCAGCGCCGGTGAGCGCTGAACCCCGGATCGGACTACCAGATAAGTGGAACGGAGTAGACGGCCGGCCTGATGGGTTGCTCGCCACCTTAGACATGCTGTTTGAATGTCAACCCACTAAATACGCCACTGCCCGTGCAAAAGTGGCAATGTTAACCTCTCTCTTGTCTGGCCAGGCTCAGGAATGGGCCGCGGCTCTCTACAACAATAAATCTGCAGCGTGTAATGACTATGCCCTGTTTGTGGAGGAGTTAAAAAAGACTTTTGTTCCCCCGAGCAGTGAAGTGGAAGTGGAGTCACAGCTGCTTCATTTACGCCAGGGCAGTCGACCCGTCTGTTACTTTGCCTCCCAATTCCGTACCCTGGCTGCTAAGCTACAATGGGGAGATGCTTCTCTGCGCTCCATCTTTCTGGAGGGACTGGCTAATTACATCCGAGATGAGATGGCCTGCCGTGAGGCCCCAAAGACTTTGGATGAGGCCGTGGACCTTGCCCTGAAGATCGACCAACGAGTAATGTCACGGCCACGCCACACCCCTCGGGCCTTCAAACCCTTCCAGCCTCAGAGGGCCATGCTGCTAGCCCAAGCAGTACTTCCACCGAGGAGCCCATGCAGCTGGGTAGGCTCCTAAAAGAGGAGAAAGCGAGACGCTGGCGTGAGGGCCTCTGCGCCTACTGTGGATCAGCCCAACACCGTCGTCCCCAGTGCCCACTACGTCCGGGAAACGACGACGCCAGGTAGACTGCGGGGGAGTCCCACCTGGCCCTTCACACTCCTCTGAACCCTCGCGTTTTCTGTTACCAGTACTATTTCACCTGAAACACCGACAGTTCTCATCTGAAGCCCTCCTGGACACCGGAGCCGCTGAGAACTTCATCGACCAATAACTAGCATCCCGACTTCGCTTTCCGTTAACCCCTGTTGATCGATTCCTCCCGGTGACCTCAGTAGATGGGTGACCCCTCCAACCCTACCCGATCCAGTTCCAGACCCAGCCGGTTTGCATGTCTATTGGGGATCACCAGGAGGAGATCCGGTTTCTAGTAGTCTCGGCCACGTCCTCTCCTCTCATCCTTGGATACCCCTGGTTCCGTCAACATGACCCCCACGTCTCCTGGTCTTCCTGCCAGATCCTAGATTGGGGTCCCCAGTGTCCACGCCGCTGCCTTCTCTCTCGGACCAGAAAGGACTCCAAGTCAGAAGAGGCCTCTCCCCCAGAGCCCATTGATCTGGATAAGATCCCTCCGCTTACCACGACCTATCTGAGGTCTTCAGTAAGAGGCGAGCCTCTACCCTACCTCCTCATCGCTCCTACGATATGGCCATTGAGCTCCTCCCGGGAGCGGTCCCTCCCCGTGGTCGCCTGTTCTCTCTGTCTCCCGCTGAGAATGAGGCCATGGAGGAGTACGTCGCTGAGGCTCTCCAACAGGGCTTTATTCGCCCTTCTACCTCTCCTGCTGCTGCTGGGTTCTTCTTTGTCAAAAAGAAGGATGGCGGGCTCCGCCCTTGCATAGATTATCGGGGCTTGAACAAAGTCACCATCAAGAACCGCCATCCTCTTCCTCTGCTATCCACCGCACTCGATTCCCTCTCCCAGGCCTGCATCTTCACCAAACTGCACCTGCGCAGCGCCTACAACCTGGTGCGCGTCAGGGAAGGGGACGAATGGAAGACGGCCTTCATCACCCCTAACGGGCACTGGGAGTGCCTGGTGATGCCCTTCGGCCTCTGCAACAGCCCTGCTGTCTTCCAACATCTGATCAACGATGTCTTGCGGGATATGCTAGGCCAGTGGGTGTTTGCTTATCTAGACGACATCTTGATCTACTCCCGCACCGAAGTGGACCATGTTCGCCACGTGAGGGCCGTGCTGAGCAGGCTGCTCGAGTAACAGCTGTTCTGCAAACTGGAGAAGTGCGCTTTCCATCAGCGGTCCACCACCTTCCTGGGCTTCACCATCTCCTCCGAGGGCCTGACCATGGATCCGCAAAAGGTCCAAGCCGTGACCCAGTGGCCTCAGCCCTCCAGCCTTAAGCAACTACAGAGCTTCCTGGGCTTTGCCAATTTCTATCGGTGCTTTATCCGTAATTTCAGCGCCGTTGTCGCCCCACTGACATCCCTCACCAAACCAGCTAACCTGCCTAAACCCTTCTGCCTCTCCCCAGATGCAAAACAGGCATTCCGAGACCTCATCCACCGGTTCACTACGGCCCCCGTCCTGCTCCACCCTGATCCTGCCAGAGATTTCGTGGTGGAGGTGGATGCCTCCGATGTTGCCGCTGGCGTCGTCCTTTCTCAACATGGCCCGGATGGAAACTGCACCCATGCTGCTATTTCTCAAGGAAATTCTCTCCCATGCAGCAAAGCTAGGGTGTCGGCGACCGAGAACTCCTGGCCATTAAGTGGGCCTTAGAAGAGTGGCGGCATTGGCTCCTGGGAGCGAAAAACCCCTTTCTGATCTGGACTGACCATCAGAACTTGATCCATATTCGTTCTGCCAAGCAGCTCAACCCAAGGCAGGACCGTTGGACCTTATTCTTTGAGCCTTAAAATTTCCACCTCGCCTACCGCCCTGGTTCCAAGAACGCTAAAGCAGACGCTCTCTCCAGGCAGTTCGCCCAGGACGGCCTCACGTCAGACCCGAGTCCTATCCTACCTTCTCGTTGCTTCGCTGGCCCCCTTAGGTGGCCCCTGGAGGACTCCATCCGGGATGCCCTGACCGCCGAACCGCCTCCGCCTGACACCCCTGCTGGGAGGCTCTATGTACCATCCCGGTGCCGTCAGGAGGCCTTGCTCTGGGCTCACTCCTCCCGCTCTCTGGTCACCCGGGGCCGGACAGAACCCTCCAACTCCTCCGTCGTGCCTTCTGGTGGCCCTCCATGACTCGGGACGTCCGTGAGTTCGTTTCCGCCTGCGACACCTGTGCTCGGGCCAAGTCTACCTCTCAGCCTCCCGCTGGCGACCTTCGCCCTCTCCCTGTGCCGGGACGTACCTGGTCCCATGTTGGCCTCGACTTCGTTACCGGCCTCCCGTCCGTGGATGGTCTTGACACCATCCTCACCTTTGTAGACCGGTTTTCAAAGGCGGTGCACGTGGTCGCTCTGGCCGGCCTCCCTTCCGCTAACGGACGGCCGAGCTCTTCTTGGACCATGTCGTCCGGCTTCACGGGTTCCCCAAGGACATAGTCTCGGACAGGGGGCCCCAGTTCACTGCCAGGTTCTGGAAAGCCTTTTGCCGCCTGATCGGTGCGTCTCCCAGCCTCTCGTCCGGCTATCACCCTCAGACTAACGGGCAGGTTGAACGGACCAATCAACAGCTGGGGCGCTTCCTGAGGTGCTTTGTCTCCGCCCAACCGTCACTTTGGCCTCGTTACCTGTTGTGGGCTGAGCTGTCTCATAACCTTCACGTCTCTTCTGCCACCGGTCTCTCGCCCTTTGAGGTCTGCCTTGGTTTTCATCCTCCTATCTTCAGCCATCAGGAGGCGGAGGTCGACGTGCCTGCTGCTGAACGGATGGTCCGTCGCTGTCGTCAGGCCTGGATCAAGGCGTGGGCTGCCATTTCCCGAGCCAACGCTCTGTACACCAAGCAGCATCGTCGCCGCCACCGCCCGGGTCTGCTGGGGGATTGCGTCTGGCTCTCCACGAGGCACCTGCGGCTCCGCACGGAGTCCAAGAAGCTCGCTCCCCGGTTCGTTGGCCAGTACGAGATCACTGCCCGGCTCAACCCCGTGACTTATTGTCTCCGGCTTCCGCCCGCCTTGAAGGTCCATCCGGTTTTTCACGTCTCGCAGCTTAAACGGCACGTTACTTCTCCGCTGGCGCCCCCCTCCCCGGCCCCGCCCCCGCCCAGGTTCGTCGATGGGGGCCCTGTCTACACTGTCCGGCGGATCTTGGACTCTCGTCCCCGGGGTCGCGGGGTCCAGTATTTGGTGGACTGGGCAAGCTACGGTCCGGAGGAGCGCTCCTGGGTGCCGTCCCGCTTCGTCTTCGATCCCTCCCTCATCTCGGTTTTTCGTCGCCGCTGTCCTGGACCGTCGGGTGCCGGTCTTCGGGGGGGGGGGGTCCTGTAAGCCGGTGATCAGCTGGTGATCAGCTGGTGATCAGCTGATGACGGGGCCGGGTTTAAAAGAGAGACGTCACCCACCTGTTCGCCGCTCAGACATCGTTCTCTTCATGTCAGGAGCTCCGAAACCTTGCCGACGTCAGTCGCCGCCTGATTCACCAACAGTGAGTGTTTTTCCTCTCGACTCTTTTTCTCATCCCGGCTCCGCTCGCTCTCCGTCTGTAACGGCAGTTCCGAAGCTCCGCTTCGTGCACTGATCGTTACTAGAATAACTGCGTTTCTGTTCCAACCCACCGCTAGCCTTCACCGCGTTTGGGTCTAGCCAGCACGCCACACGGGCACGCCGAATTACTGTGTGTAATCCGCCTGACCTTGACACACTGATGGGAACAAATCATTAACCAAATGGGGGAAGTAAAACTCAAAGCTAAGTTCACAAGACATGAGACCATAGAAAAAGAGGAAATAATACACAGAGACATACGCAGACATGTAGAAAACAGAAAGGAAAATATAAGTGAATGGGAAACATGACAGATGGGGAAATCAGACAATGACAGACAAACAGAGAGACAAGACAGACAAAGGGACATAACTGAAGTACAGAAAAGGATCACAAAAGCAGATATTTAGTGTTACAAAACCAAGAAGACAAACTACAATATGAAAACAGGGTACATGGGATATAGTAAATCCTAAAGCAAACGATTAACCATCCTTATATACAAAGACCCAAACTAAAACACAAAAGACTCTCAAAAACAAAAAGGCATCACAAAACCCTGAGGAAAAAACAGCGATCCTCCATCCATTCGCTTCCGCTTATCCTTTTCAGGATCGCGGGGGCGCTGGAGCCTATCCCAGCTGTCATAGGGCGAGAGGCGGGGTGCACCCTGGACAGGTCGCCAATCTGTCGCAGGGCCAACACACAGGGATAGACAACCATTCGCACTCACATTCACTCGCACATTCACACCTAGTGGCAATTTGGATTATCCAACTAAATATCCCACAAGCTGCATGTCTTTGGACGGTGGGAGGAAGCCGGAGTACCCGGAGAGAACAGCGAACCTAACAAATAATATTGCAGTGGCTGGAGATGAAACGTTGCGGACATGTAGTAAATGGACTGATTCTTATATAGTGCTTTTCTACTCTCCTGGAGTTTTCAAAGTGCTCTATACAACAGGCCTCATTCACACAAGCACTTCTAAACACAAGTGCAAACTAATCATCAGAGGGCAACTTGGGGTTAGTATCTTGCCCAAGGATATTTGGCATGCAGGCTGGGGAAGCCAAGGTTCGAGCCACCAACCTTCCAATCAGCAGCTGATCTGCTCTACCACCTGAGCCACAGCCACCCACCCATCACAAGTGGGTGAGGCTGGTTCTGATATGGTGCTTTTCTACTCTGAGCATTCAAAGTGCTTCATACAAATGACTCATTCAAGGACTTTTCCTGTGCAGAAGAGGTTTCTATCCTGGGGTTAGTATCTCGTATCAAACAACCAACCTTCCAGTTACTTCGTGACCTGCTCTAACTCCTGAGCTACAGACAGAAGAGGAGTTTGTTAAGAATTGTTAAGTTTTTTTTATTGTTTATTAAATTAATCTTATTAAATTTGAGTAGAACGTTCCTGTTATTTTTCTGAAACGTTGCAGCTTTTGGTGGTTAAACTGCAAATATATAGAGAAGGTAACCCAGAGGAAGAATGCACAGAGACTTTAAGGTCAGCTATCAAGAATCATTTTTATGCATTTTGATGCAATGTTATGATATTTGATGTTGAAATTGATTAGAAACGACTAATTTCATTTCTACAGAATTTTGCAGTGTGGGTGTCCAAGAAGATGAATTCAGAATTTCATGTCAACTATCATATATGATTGAATACAGAACCTTCATACACCTACCTGAAACCATTTAAATGACATTATTGAGTTCCTTCAAAGTTTCTCCGTTTGAACAGAGTTGTTCTTTAATTTCTCGTGTCTCAAGCAGTTTGAGGTGAAACTATGGATGCATGAAAGAGCAGCTGAGCCAAATGACAACTGAATTTCAACTATAAAAGATGATTTTCAGAAATATTTTACATTTTTTGAAGTTATTTTAGATTTGAATGAATCATGAATGAAGAAGCATTACCAGAAAAATTAAGAGGAGAAGACAACTTGAGTGAAAAACAAATGACACTGTGGCTTAATTTCTGTTAACTTCCTGAAAACCATGTGTGTTGTTATGTGTGTGATCAGCAAAAGGGGATAAGAAGCAGCACTACCGTAAAACTTAGCGTTGAAGCGCAAGCCTGGCAGATAACGGGTGGCAGGCGTGGCTCACACTTGACCACGGTGTTGGAGAAACTCTGAGCTCCGGGTCTTTATAATCACTCTGCGGAGCTCACAGAGACTGCAGGGAGGACAGGAGGACAGAGCAGACTTTGTGAATTATTTTTTATCTTAGATGTAATATAAATTCAACACAGGCCTCTGAGGAAAAGGATCGTGCTACAAACTTTTGTGTCTCTTCCAACAGAAAGCAGAGGAGTGGAGTTACTCAGAGACTGACTGGATTAAACACACCAAAGGTTTATATTCCAGTTGGACCGTATCTCTTACCAAGGTCTGCACTACGTATCAGGATTTGATCTTATTCAGGTAATATCAGGGTTCGTATAGGGGTTTGTTCACAATAGTAACTTATGCAGCCGTTTTTTTCAGTCTCACTGACCACACTTTTTACAACATGCTGCATTTTTAATAGTAAACTTCTGTTCAGTGCTTTTCCTGTCACACACTGATACATGTGTTTTGTCTGCAGCAGCAGCTGTGTTGTTGTTAGATTGTATTATCTGTTTAATCTCTTCAACATGGTTTTAGTTTTCTTTGTAAAGTCAGCAGCTCTGTCACTTTTCTCTGATTCCTCTTCTGCTCGACACTCAGCTGACACTCAGTTTCATTTCCACATTCATGAAGTTGTTGTCCAAGCGAATCATAGGCTCCATGATTGGTCAGCAGACTGTGTCCAGGCAGACAGGTTGGATAAGAATAACAGATTTATGTTTGATTACGCCCGTTTCCAATTCAGTTCCAGTCATTCCTGGTCCCAGGAGGTTGATGGGGGTGGGAGATGGGGGGCAGTGGGTTGTAAGCACAATGTAGATGAGTGGAGGCTTAATGTACTTAAACTTCCAGTCACAGTGAATCAGTGTGTGTCAGTGAATGCATCATGTGTGCTTCATGGCTCCATCTAGTGGACTGATAGTAGAAGTAGAGCAGCTGATGGCAGCTTCCTGTGCCTCACACTGCTGTCTGACTCCATTCAGCTGATATTTGGACAGCACACATGATGGAAAGGAGGATTTTGGTTTATGTGCACATGAATGATTTGTGTTTCCTCTGCAGGTGAAGGTAGAAAGTGTGTGTGAGCTGATGTGAATTGAGCAGCATGGATCAGTGTGAGGACAGAGAGGAGGGAGTCCCTCCCTCTAAAAGCACTCTGTGTGGGGAACATGAGAGCCAGACCAAAGCTCAGAGGTGAGATGACCATCTCTAACTGTCCATGACTCTTCTCCATGTCACAGCTCAGCACTCACATCACTGCTCCATCATTATTCACACTCATACCTCTGTGTGTGTTGTTTTAAAGCCCAGAGCTGTGGGGCGTACCAGGCTCAGCTGGACAAAACCCTGAAACTAATCCAGAGCCTGGACCTGAACCCAGCTGTGTTTCCTTAAAGAGCAACGAGTCGAAGGATATCAGTGTAAACTTTAACAAAAGACTGTTATGTGACAAAGAGTAAGCACATTATTTTTATGAGATTGTTCATCATATCTTTAATTTAATATTTCCAGTTTTTCCTTCCTGTCTCATGAAGCTGTGACATTTATTGTTTTTCTTTTAGGATCAATAAGAGGCCAGAATCTCCTGGACCTGAACCCAGCTGTGTTTCCTTAAAGAGCAACAAGTCGAAGGATTTTGGTGAAGACTTTAAAGGATGTTCTTCTGCTGCTGAGAGGTAATGTGTGTCTAGATGTTGTTCCTGACTCTGTATTTTTGAATAAATCCTCATGTTTAATATCAGCTCAGCTCTTTTTCACACACATTTCTATGTTGGTATGTGAAGCGGTGTGTGTTGGAGTGTTTCCACAAACACAGCAGTCAGAGTGGAAAGAGTGGATGTTGTAGGAGGTGTTTGTGTAGTGAAGAGGCTGAGTGTCTGTAGGACTCCAGCTGCTCCAGCAGGTGTCTCCTTTGTGCTTTGCTTCAAACACAGTGTAGGGAGGAGCTTCCACTCAGGTGTTTCAGGTGTTGCTGGATGGAGGAGGACAAATAGTTTTTCCCTTCAGTGACACTTCAGCAGCTCAATGTTCTGGGAGATGTTTGTCTTTATGAAGGTTTATGGATTCTTGTTCTTACTTTGGTTAAACTGAGCAATACATTTTCCATCTAACATTTAAAGTAAATTTCCAGGTGAATAAAAGATCTGCAGCTGCAGCCTCTGTGATGTTTCACAGTCTGAAAGTAACAAATTCAACCAGAGTTCAAACAAAGGCTTAATATACGTGTGTGCTTGATATAATGCCAACAAGTACAAATAGGTGTTCTTACAGGTCTTAATCACAGAGGTCTGATAAGTCTGGTGACTTTCACACTCAGCAATTTTGCTGCCTTTTATTTTATATTGGCCTTTTTAAAGCCCTTCAAAGTCTCCCACATTCATACAGAGCTTTTAACACCAAACTCCTTTACAGTCCTTCTCCTCTCACACACGATCACACGACTGATTTGTCTGCAGCAGCTGTGTTACTGCTAGTATTTTATTATGTGTGTAATCTCCTCATATTGTTCCTGTGGTTTAGTTTGACTTCCTTCTGCAAACTCAGCTGCTCTGTTGCTGATACACGTCTCCATGAATATGATTGATCAGATGCTGCCAACACCATGTGTTTCATGTGAGCGCTCAGCTGAAACCCTGGGTTGACTTATCGAGTTAATAACAAGCTTCACGTGACTGTGAATGCTAAAGTGAATCCAGATAAAGGAAAGAGACCCTGCTAATGTTGGACTCACTTCTTAGTGTAGATCCCAGGAGGAAGTTCAACATAGCCATTCTTTGTGCTAGCTCGACCAAACCTGAGACCACAGTGCAGGATAATGATTATCATCTGTCTCTGTCAAGGACATTTAAAATCCACAAATAACAAACATAATTATATTTGATCATTAAAAATATGTTTTCACTTAAAAAAAGCATGAGCACACTGGTGGATTACAGAAACATGAAAACTCGTTAACAGTAAAGTTAATTTAGGCGTAAACAAAGTGTCAAACATACTTAAAGTAGAAGGACTGATGTTTGTGTTAACCCTCAAATGGGCTGTACAACATTATATAGGGAGACAAAAACAGAGATTATCGTAGCCATCGCTCTCTCACATGGACGTGGCAGTCTTGCTGTCTGCTGCGAATCCTCCCCGTACCTCCGTGACCTCGTCTGGTATCTGCTCCCTCCTCTGTAAGAGACAGTAAAGGAAAACACGTCTCTGCCTAGTCTTGAAAATCTAATCTTATCATCCATTGTTCTTCTAGGGCCTCTTCTTCTTGTGGCCTCAGCTAACTGCTAATATTTAAATGGCTAACATTAACATGTGTGCCAGCCAGGTTAACATTTATGATGACCTATGATTAATTAACTGATGTTGAAACTGGAGCTTTACTGACCTCTGAAATTCCACCTAAAGTGTTATTCAGTGTTGTGACAGTCAGCTGCTTCAGCTGCTGCTGGGATGGGCTGTGGCAAAGAGAACAGAGAAAATCAAAATCAGAGTTTTTCTCTGAATTAAAAGCAAGGAAACAACAATATATTCTACATGGTGAAACTGATGGTTTATGGTGTTTAGGTCTGTTTGTCTGTATTTATGCAGATAAAGTGTAAACTCAGATGAATTATACCATCAAATGTTAAAGGAAAATATCAGGATGAGTGTCTGTGAGCTGAGAAGGACGTGAAGCGAGCAGTTTATCCCAGAGCTGAAGCTGCTCTGTGTGCAGAGATGAGCTCAGATTCCTGCTGTGATTGATCAACAGTCACAGAAATGTAGACTTGTAGTTATTACTGCAGTATGGTCACAGCAGATACTGATAAACATGTATTATGAGGATGGATGATCAAGTTTCTCACTCTCTCCTTTAAATCTCAGTTTTTTCTTCTTCACAGTTTATCTGTTAATTTATTAATGAATAACACTGAAAGAGTTTCTGTTATATTTCCCCTTGAACATCAGCTTATTAGGGCAGCATTAGGAAATAGCCCCCCTCCAAAGAATGAATAAATGAATGATGATAATAATAAAATGATTAAAAAGCAGAGCTCAGAGTGGTAGAATGGTCAAACATGGATCCACGGGTGGTTCAACTGCATTTGGTGACGTGACTAAAGCAAATCTTTCAAATAATCCCACCATCAACGGGATGTTGTCTCCTTTACTACGGTTACTTTACTTGGTCACCGTGTGAATTTCTTTGAAATGAACCAAATTCTTTTATTTGTTGGTTGTTGCATATTTAACCTCTACAGTCAGGAAAGGAGGAGATGAGGCCTCAACAATGTTGGGTTGTAGCTGTGGTTCAGGTTAGAGTGAGTGTCCATGGAATAAATGTAAGTCAGTGAACTGGAAACATGACTGTGTTCAAACTTTGTTTTCCTTTTATAATGAGTCTAATCAAAGGTGGACAGAAGTATCTCCACTGTGACTTTTCTGTGTCACCATCAGAGCTTCTGCACAGTGTGGAGAAAGATCCAGAAGCAGAGCTGGACTGCAGACAGCCAGTCAGAGCAGCTGTGTACAAAGTAAGACTGAACATCTGTCTGCTGATGGACTCATTTCTGAAAACTGGACTTCTTGTGTTGTTCAGACATTGAAGACTTTTCTTTCTCTTTAGTCTCATTGTTTTTCTTTCTTTCAGCAGATGTTGGTCTGCAGGAGGTTTTAGATGAACATAAGATCAGTCTGAGGAGGAGATGTGAACGTGTGACTGAAGGAAGTGATGAAACAGGAAGTAGAACCCTCCTCAACACCATCTACACTGAGCTCTACATCACAGAGGGACAGAGTGAAGAGGTTCATACCCAACATGAGGTGAGGCAGCTGGAGACAGCTTCCAAGATGGACGCCCTCCATGACGCTCCAATCAGGTGCCAGGACATCTTTAAAGCCTTACCTGACCAACAGAGACCCATCAAAGTGGTTCTGACCAACGGTGTGGCTGGTGTTGGAAAAACCTTCTCAGTGCAGAAGTTCACTCTGGACTGGGCAGAGGGCTTGGAGAACCAACATGTCAGTTTGGTGGTTCTGCTTTCATTCAGGGAGCTGAACCTGATCAGAGATGAGCAGTACAGTCTTCTGGAGCTGCTCCATGTTTTCCATCCAACATTACAGAAGGTCACAGCAGAGAAGCTGGCTGTCTCTCAGCTTTTGTTCATCTTTGACGGCCTGGATGAAAGCAGACTTTCATTGGATTTCACCAACATGAAGCTGATGTCTGATGTCACACAGAAGTCATCAGTCAGCCAGCTGCTGACAAACCTCATCCAGGGGAAGCTGCTTCCCTCGGCTCTCGTCTGGATAACTTCCCGACCCGCAGCAGCCAATCAGATCCCTCCTACATGTGTTGACAGGCTAACAGAAGTACGAGGCTTCACTGACGCCCAGAAGGAGGAGTACTTCAGGAGGAGATTCAGTGATGAAGAGCTGTCCAGCAGAATCATCTCCCACATGAAGACATCCAGGAGCCTCCACATCATGTGTAGTATCCCAGTCTTCTGCTGGATCACTGCTACAGTTCTGGAGCACATGTTGACTACAGAGCAGAGAGGAGAGCTGCCCAAGACCCTGACTGACATGTACTCACACTTCCTGCTGGTTCAGACAAAGAGGAAGAAGATCAAGTACCATGAGGGACATGAGACGAGTCCACAGGAGCTGACGGAGGCTGACAGGAAAGTTCTTCTGAAGCTGGGGAGGTTGGCGTTTGAACATCTGGAGAAAGGAAACATCATGTTCTACCAAGAAGACCTGGAGCAGTGTGGTCTGGATGTGACAGAGGCCTCGGTGTACTCAGGAGTTTGTACAGAGATTTTCAAAAGAGAGTGTGTGATCTTCCAGAAACCAGTCTACTGCTTTGTTCATCTGAGCATTCAGGAGTTTCTGGCTGCTGTCTACATGTTCCACTGTCACACCAACAGGAAGACAAAGGTGCTGAGGGACTTCCTTAAACCAAAATCTTTCACCAAGTTGATTTCCAGTGTTTTTGATGACAAAGATCTCCAATCACTTGATGTATTTCTGAGGAGAGCCATGGAGAAATCCCTCCAGAATGAAAACGGCCACCTGGACCTCTTTGTTCGCTTCCTTCATGGCCTCTGTCTGGAGTCCAACCAGAGACTCTTAGTAGGTCTGCTGGGTCAGACAGAGATCAGTCATGGAACCATCCAGAGAGTCATCAACAACCTGAAGGAGATGAACAGTGATGAAATCTCTCCTGACAGAAGCATCAACATCTTCCACTGTCTGATGGAGATGAACGACCTCTCAGTACATCAGGAGATCCAAGAGTTCCTGAAGTCAGAGAACAGATCAAAGAAGGAACTCTCTGAGATCCAGTGCTCAGCTCTGGCCTTCATGCTGCAGATGTCAGAGGAGGTTCTGGATGAGTTGGACCTGCAGAAGTACAACACATCAGAGCAGGGACGACAGAGACTGATTCCAGCTGTGAGGACCTGCAGAAAGGCTCGGTGAGTCCAGATGTGATCATTAACATTATTGATCAGTGTAGGTTAGTAGTTTAATTTTGAAAATAAAATCAGATTGTAAGCACAAAGTGTTTGTGTCCGTACGCTGCAACCTTCCACACCATTCCTTTATTGTACAGACTCAGCAGCAGCTCCATGGATCCCAAATCCAAGAGTGGAGAACAGATTTGAAGTGTGTCACATCCATGCAGTCACAGCTGTTTCCACCATGTTTCCACTGATATTGATCCTGTTCAATGACACGTTTCATATCAGTGAATATGTTCTTTAGGACGTCCACTGACATGTTTAAGTGTCCTGCTGGAAATCATCAAATCATCCATGAAATCCATGAAAAATCCTTTTAGTGTTTCTAACTTCACCCTCTGTCCTCTCTCTCTCTCCATCCTCCTCACTGCTTCTTTCACTGATAATCACACAAACATCGTATTCAGCTACAAAATAACACAATAATATCATCTGATGATCATTATTATAAGAGCAGGATCCATATTTGATATCAGAGTAACACACTGCTTGGTTATGTGCAGTCATCATCAGTGACTGTGGGTCAAACAGAAGCTCTCTGATTGGTTGCTGACCTTGGTCACCTGTCCCCTCTCACCTGTTTGTGTTTGCTCTCTCTTTGCTGTCTCCATCCTCTCTCTCCTTTCTCTCCCTCTCTGTCTTTGTACGTCACTCAGGTCCAATGGAAACAGTGACATTTACAAACCAATCAAAGACAAACTGATCCATGTCAGGTTATAACAATATTCAAAGTGAATACAGGCTGCTGCTGGACACAGACAGGTAACATCATTTTGACCTGCTGTCACCTGGATCTGGACTCATAAACACTGAAGCCCTGAACAGGAATACAAATCATTTTCTGCCAACTAGCGACACACCAGCAGATAATGGCTCAGAAAGCTAAAATGAGCCAATCATTTCTGTGTTTAGTTCCCCTGAAATCAGATCTGATATCAGCAGCTCTGAGTTCATTCATCATTATTGTCCAGTGATGAGATTTCTGCTCCGTTTGGTAACAGTCAGCAGGTTTTTCCTGCGTGTGGACGTGAACAGTCGTACCTGACAGCAGGTAGCAAACAGAGATCATCTTTCCAGCTGGAACTCTTCACTGAGCTGAACTCATTCAAATGATCTGGAGTCAAAACAGGAAACAGTCCAAATGTGTGTCTTCACTCTGACTCTGGATCAGATCTCAGTGACAGACTGTGGACATTATGGAAGCCTAAATGTGACACCATCTTCCTCCTTCATCTGCAGATTAAAGCCAAACAAAGATTCTCATTAAAAGTCTGCAGGTCTGAGAGAGACTCAATCGTTGTGTCATGTCAAACACAGTAAGAGGAGCTGAAGCACAGATGTGAAGAGCAGATTCATCAGATTATGACCTCACTCTGTTTTGTCTTCATATACATTCAGTCTGTGTTTATAATGCAGATTTTCTGTTTTATAATAACACATTTTATATTTTCTATCATCACAGACTGGCTGAGTGTGGACTCTCAGAGACTCACTGTGAAGTTGTGTCCTCAGCTCTGAAGTCCAACCCCTCCCATCTGACAGAGCTGAACATGAGTAGAAATGATGACCTCAAGGATTCAGGTGTGAAGCTTCTGTGTGCTGGACTGGAGAGTCCAAACTGTCGACTGGAGACTCTGAGGTGAGTTCACTGACTGCAGCTGTTGTTGTTTTCTATATTTCATATCTTTGACTGATGTTTGAAACGTTCTGTAGTTCCTAAATGTTCAGGATGTGTCTGAAGAGAAATGTGAAGAAGTTTGAGTGCTTTCAGAAATGTTGTCTTTCCAAACGACTGAACAACAATTTTTCCTTTTGGCTCCAAACAGAAGTGACAGACTTGAGCAGGGTTCATTTAAAGGCTGACAGAAGTGGAGTGGTGACGGGGAGATGTTTGACAGGACAGTGTTTCAGCCTCCACAGGTTCATGTTGTGCTCCATCAGTCAGTGAAGATGAAGTCAGTGCTGATGAGGCTGTAGAGTGTGTGAGGGATGTGAATGAGGATGATGAAGATCTGATGATAGCAGATAAAAACAGGCTGCAGAGACTTTGAGCCATACAGGGCACACAGTGTGTGTACAGAACAGCTGAAATCATTATGGAGGCCTCACTGGGATATGGAAGCATCACAGTACAGCTTCAGTGAAGCATTAAAGTCTCTGATATGAGATGAGAAATGAAGCAGCCAGAGCTTTTTCATGAGTGGAAATCCACTGTGACTGTGAGCTGCTGCTACAGCCTCCAGATTAGCCAGCAGCTCATCCTGCTCAACATTTCCTCACCAACTTTAATGGAAGTGTGATGTTTTCAGCTGGAGTGATGGTCAGGGTGGCCTCCCTCTCCTCTTCTTCTCCTCTTCCTCTTTCATTTGTAAAGCCACTTCTGCTGCTTTCATTCATTTGGAAGTCCTGTAGCTGAGTTTGGGAGAGACTAACAGCCTCGGCAGCAGAGGGGAGAAAGGCTGTAACACCACCACTTTACTCTGTTCTACCTGTCACATCATTTTATCAGGAAACAAATATGCTCATGTTTTTACTATGTTTGTCTTGAAGATGTAAGAAGATCACATGGTGCTTTTTATTATTGTGTTGGTTTGTTTGCTGTCTCTTGGATGGAGCCCAGCTGTGCGTGGCCCCTGGGCCTGTGGTCAGAGTGTGTGCTGGATAATCCGGCCCAGGATGAGGCCAAACTGACATGGGATGAAATGTCTGTCACATAATTGAGCTTAGTGTAGTTTCATTTCTGCACAATTTAAAAACAACCAAAACTTTGTTCTGTCTTTTCTATGTTATACTGTAGACTTTCTTTGATACTGTGTCCAAAAGGAGCAGCTTTTACTTTGAAGGGGAGGCGTCTCTGTTTCCTCTTCAGGTTGGATGATGGAAGCAAATGAGTGTGTGATGGTCTTTCAGTGTTGCACTTTGTAGACGCTCCCTGAGCACTGGTCTCACAGCCAGCTGCACATAGAGAGCAGTGTTGTTAGTCCAGGTCAGAAGATGACTTGCTGGAATGAAAATGAGCTTGTAGTTTGTCTGCTTTAATAATGTGATGGAAAAAGGTGTTGGACTTCAAATATGTCCATTTCTTTCACACTTCACCTTTAAAAGTGAAGCCTTGTTGTTCCTGGAAGGAAAAACACGACTTTTTCAAGTCTTTTTCCTGATAAATGTACGACTTTAATGTGAAACATTCAGAGTTTTTTCTCTTGTTGTGTTTGTTTGAAGCTGCTTCCTGTTGGTTTCAGCTGTTTGGAGTTTCCATTTTCTAAACTTCTACATTCTGAACCTTCTTCAGCTCTGAACAGATGATGAAACACTGAATGATTTCAAGCTCACACTTTGTCTAATAAACTTACATCTTTCATTCTTTATACAGATTGGGGGACTGTGGTTTGTCAGAGATCAGCTGTGATTATCTGGCAGCAGCACTGAAGTCCAACCCCTCCCATCTGAGAGAGCTGGACCTGATAATGACTCTGTCTTCGACCAACAACAAGCTGCAGGATTCAGGAGTGAAGCATCTGTGTGGTTTCTGGAGAGTCCAGGATGTGGACTTGAAACTCTGAGGTCAGTCAGCATGTTTTAGTTGTGCTGAGATGAATATGATGTGAAAGTTGTGCTGACACTAAACTGCAGACATCAGGCTGATATTATACTGATCCACACTGAGGATCTTCATGGTAAAGTCTGTTTTCTTCTTCTCTGGTTTAGTCCATTGACTGCAGCAGAACAATGTTCACATTTCAAACCTTCAAAGAAGAAGAAAAATCCTCCACTGGATAATTCACTGTGAAACTCTCCAACTCTTCATTGCACCTTAAAGTCTGTCTGACACTGAAATCCAAAGCAAAATGTGCGTTTGCTTTACAGACAGCAGTCCAACACAAACATACACACATCATCCAAAACACAGTCCAACATCCAAATCTCCTCCACTGCCAGCATGAATGATGGGAAAGAGAAGGAGGAACACTCTGACATTCAGGGTTAGAATGAGTTTCATGAAGCAGACTGTGAAGATCAAAGCTGCATTAGAAAGCTTACATGAATGAATGAGTGGACAGAAGTGGACAGAGATCATCTGAAGCACTTCAAAGGCTTTAAATCAGCACATTTCTCTTTATTCTTTATCAACTCTGTTAATTTCTCTCAGTTTTCTGTGGAATGAAGCTAACAGCAGGCTAATAAGATGCTGACCAATAGGTTTCTATTAAAGGTTGTAATTTGTATATGAAAAAGTGCTTTGGCTCAGCAGGGATCAGCTTACAGGTAGAATACAGCTGCTGGATGGGATTTGCATGTCATAGCTATCTACCAAACTGCTAACTGGGGGATTTCAGGCATCTATGGATCATTTTTGCTAACTGTTTATTCAGCTTAGGCTCACAGGGCTGCAGCCTGTGCCCTAGCTGTCATAGGGCAAGAGGCGTGGTCCACCTGCACAGGTGAGCAGTCCATCACAGGGCCACACAGAGAGACAGAGAAGCACTCTCTCACATCCACACCTACAGCCAATTTAGAAGCACCAATGAACCTAAGCAGCATTTCATTGGACTGTGGGAGAACATCCAACCTCCACAGAAAGGCCAACAAGCTTCAACCTACAACCTTCTTGCTTTCAGGCACTAGTGCTAACCACTTTTCCCCATTTCAGCCCAAATCCTGCATCTTCCTGTTTCTGACTCCAGGCCAGCTCCACTAACACTTTCTCATCAGACATTGCCACCTAGTGGAGGAAGTCTTAGTTCCATTTGAAGCTTCAGATTACAGTTAGTTCCTTTACAAAGAGGTGGAGGTGGTGGGGCCACAGCACCATCATCACTGAGTGCCATAGGACACTTAACCTTTGTTTCCATATGCTGGGAACTTCCTGTTGTTCCAAGGAGGACTGGAAAATGTGTGAAAATCTCCCAGTCAGTTCCTCACAGCACACTTCAATCATTTCCCTCCCACAGCATCAGGACCAGGGCTTTTCTGTCTTTGGTCCCACTAAGAGATTTCCACACAAACACCTCATCAGTGGGACTCTCAGAGCTACCAGCCCTTTGCTACAATCACAAAGCTCTTCATTGAAATCAATGATATCAAAGCTGGAATCAAATGAGTCCAAGTCTTCTGCTGATTCAGCATCACATTCATCTTTGCTCCTTGTTCTGCATCCCCACCATGGACTTCATTCCTTTCCAAGCCAGCCTTGAGTGTCCTTTATTCAGCTCATCCTCTGATTTACTTTTACACCTGATTTTAGCTGCTTTATCTCTCTTTCAACAAGTTTCTGTGCCTCAATCTTTTTCTTCTCTCCCTCATAACAAGACAGCTTCTTCTGCTGAGAACATGTTGGAGTGATTTACTAATCCAGGGCTGCTTATTGGGGAAAATACTTCCTGTTTCCAAAGTAATCCCCATTTTCCCAGAAAGAAATGTAAGTAGAAATCGATGATCTAAGTGAGAACATGAGCCTTTAAAAAGTCCCAGTGGGTGCAGTCAAAGCAGTCCCTCAGTCCCAGTATAGAGTCTTTGGTCCAGACTGGAACAACTGTGTGCCCAGTTTGAGCTCTCTTCAGTGCTGTGACCTGACAGACCCAGAGGGGCCATCACATCACATTTAGAAGCTCCCCTAATGGAGCCACAACACATGTCCAATACTTAGTCTGTCTTGTTGGACCAACTGGAAGAAATGATTCAAGGACTTAGTCACAGAACAGAGATTCAAATCTCCAAAATCCAACTGGCTGCATCAGGACATATAGTCTGAAACTCTGCACAGTTTCCTGTTTGAAGCTGCTTCCTGTTGGCTTTAGCTGTTTGGAGTTTCCATTTTCTAAACTTCTACATTCTGAACCTTCTTCAGCTCTGAACAGATGATGAAACACTGAATGATTTCAAGCTCACACTTTGTCTAATAAACTTACATCTTTCATTCTTTATACAGATTGAGGGACTGTGGTTTGTCAAAGATCAGCTGTGATTATCTGGCAGCAGCACTGAAGTCCAACCCCTCCCATCTGAGAGAGCTGCACCTGTGGAGAAACAACCTGAAGCATCCAGATGTGAAGCAGCTGTCTGATCTTCAGCAGAGTCCAGACTACAGACTGGAGACTCTGGGGTCAGTAGAGTGATGGAGTGAGTGGGTGGTGCTGTCAGCAGTATTGTACTAAACACAGTCAGTATGAAACAAAGATCCAGTGTTTCCTGTAAAGCTGCAGCTTCTCAGTGAAGCTGTGAGAGGAGAATGGTGACAGGCTTCAGGATTGGACACAAACACTTCCTGTTTCTCACCTTTATGGTCACCATAGTAACAGCTGACATGCTCTGATCAAACGCTGTCAACAGCCAATCAGCTCTCTGAACAAAGCAGCACGCAGACCAATGACTGCATTCTTTAAGTTTAAAGCAGTGAAGATCACAGTCTGTAGGTGAGGAAGAGTTTAGTGAGAGCAGATGTTTGGATGGAATTCCTCCAGTTAACAGCTGGAACCGTCCATCTGGATTGTTGGGCTTGTTGTTGGGGTTCCTACAGAGCTCAGAGTGGACACACCAAGGTTCTTCTAATGAATGAAAGTCCAAACTCAAACTAGGAGGGA